ACATTTATATAGTTTCACTGAGTGGCTTGACACGAGTAATATCAGTGAGCACGTAGAGATAGAAAAGGAGCACCAGTATAGCTAAACCGCACGAAGTGCGAACAACAAAACGAAAATAAAGGGAACGTGAGAACTTCATGGAAGAGACAAGAGTAAAAAATGTTAACAAATATCAGGCAAGCTCAATAACGAATGACTTCTCCAGTATGTTAGGGGTGAATTAATGACAAGATGAAGTAGACCAAAAACAAGGTTAAGATTGCATAAATACAAAACTACGTGCAATGCTCAATGTAAAAGTGAGATTAACAAAGGGGGTATGCGAGCCCAAGCCGAGGTCACCGAATTTATCAATTAACTTGAGCATGGGGCGTTGGCATGCGCGCGCAGTTTTTCCGCGCGATCTCTGATCAATGGAGATCACATTCGTAATCCGGATAAAATATCCTCAGGGTGAAAACCATTAACCTAAATAAGCAGTAAGGAACACACTAACACAAACAAGGTAAGTACTAATACTAACATTATTTTACTAGTAAGTAACAGTACTTACTAGTGAAATAATGTTCTTCATTCATAGCTCTCTTCTACATATAGTCACTTTTGTGAACTCCCGCTGACCTTGGTGTGGTTAGTCAGGCGGCACTCGGGGCGCGTAATTGAAATTCTCCGGTTCGTGTTCGATTTCTTCAAATTCTTTGTAGCAATCCTGGATTTCTTCCGGTTAATGTACAGAGCGCTTTGTTGTGCTTCTTATTATTACGACATATGCAGGACAGCTATCTTCCTTTCGCTAGGCAGAAGGAACAAACCAAGTATCGTTTTTGAGGTTTCATTGGATTATCCTCGCTTATCCTTCGCTATTGTACACTTCGGTTTTTCATCAAGCACTCTGCGATTTCCGTGAGGCGCGTTTCCAATTCCAATTTCTTCTGATGTAGGGGGTACCTTTGTTGATCTGCGTTGTCATCGTCAGATTGTTAGGAAGGAGTACTGAATGTAGTCATCGCACTCTTGGGCTCTTCATAATCGTAGTCCAAATCGAGGTCTTCTGCAAGTTCGTCTATGTTTACCTCCTTTGATTTCGATTTCTGCTCTGCGTGCTCTGAATGCTCCGTATGCTCGAGATGCTCTGTATGCTCTCGCTCCTCTGATCGGAGTTGGTTCTTATTGCAATGTTTTTTATTTTTTCAACTTTTTCACACAGCTTTTTCATGCTCCCTCTCTGATTGCCCATCCGTTTATAGTTCCATATGCTTGACATGGATCTCTCTTCAAGTCCTTTATCATTCCTTTTATTTTATCGGAGGTAGAAGTGTGATTTTCACTTTCTCCTTGGCGCTTTGCTTCTTCGTTTTCGTCCTGTACTTGACTTCTAAATTGATCTAGGATTTCCAGCTCGGCAGTATGGCTTGGTCCAATAGAGAACCCTGCTCATCTTTTCCAAAAACGTTATCTCGAGAAAACATTGTTGCTTCATCAGACAAAATAAGAAGACTGCATATTTCGTAAGCCATGGACAACTTTTCGGCTGTGCTTCGAATTCTTTCGCGTCATGGTCCACTTCGAGACATATTCTTTCCAGATGATTTCTGTAGAGCGCTGCTTCCTAATTGGCGAAAAACAGGGTCTTCATCCTTGAATTGCGGCATATTACTCATTAAGGCGATTGTTCCTAACAGTATTAATAACGAATTTTATAAAGCAACGTATTTTGTGTTGAATATCTTCGTTTTCTGGGGACCTCGAAACCGTTTCTATGCAGCTCGCTTATAATGAGTTTCATCGATAAATTTGCGTTCGTCAGCTTGACATTTTTTCGAAAATACGTGATCGCTTCTTGAAGGCATTGTTCTAGAATGGAACTGCTTCAATTGAAAGGCGCTGAATGGATGGTGCTAATCGAAAGTGGTAGTAGGTGTGCTATTAGGTGATAAGTTCCTGGATGAGCTTCTCTTATACCTTCGCAAACAGCACCAATTTTGGAAACCGTGCACTTTTAAAGTTTTTGCTTTACATGCACTGATGCGTGGCATGATTATTAATGCTCTGTGCCTGCTCATGTAAAGATCGATTGAACCTGTTCTAAGATTGACAAAAATCTTCGCGTTAACTTCCGATGAACCTTGGCAGCAACCTTAGCTGAGGTCAGTAGTTCAATTCCTCTGGTAAACACTCTGTTGAGGAATGACATTTTGATTTGACTTAGTATTGTCTTGGTCCTATCAGCTTCATAGCCAAAATCCTGATATGTTGCCATCATGACATCAAGAAAACGGGATACCTTTTTGGTTGCTCCACTTGCAGGTTCTGCTAGGGTGAGGCAAAGCACAGAATCATCTATCAATTCGAACGATGTGCCGCTTCCATTCGTGGTGGGTATACCTCGTTCTTTGGCTCGATAGACAACATACGAAACGATTGTGGCATGTAAAATAGTGTCATTACATCCTGTCCATCCTACCACACAACCATCCACAACTCTTTCACTTCTGGAATACCCACGTCGGTTGATGCCAAAGATAAGATTGTGCCAGATATCCACAATTGAAGGCCTATCCTGCCCAAACGCATGTTAATAAGGTATTTAGAGAATCGGTCAATAACTTCACGTGGCATGTTGATACCCCAACTTGATACGTCTTGTGATGTTGCGACATGTTTTCTCCAGGCACTAACTGACTTGCTGTAAACATGAAAGGCCACGAAGAAATGGCGCAGGTATCCTCGACACAGGGCCTGCAATGCAGCAGCTATGGCACTGGTGTTCCGGTCAATCTCTGTCATGCTTCGCGTAAAATGTCGTCTGCAGCGTGGATATCTCGAGTTTTATCATCGAACTTTTGTCCTCAGCCTTAGCAGTTAAATTGAGAGACAGACGTTAGGCAATGTGCCATCTTTGATCATAGATCGAACATTCTCTGGTGGGATTTTACGAGACAGTTGGTTAAGTAAGTTAGGTTGGCTAAGTTTGGCTCACTCCGACGGGAGGGGTGCTGCAGTAAAGAAATCAGTTTATTCCTTGCTTGCTTTATGAAAAAGTAAACACCATTGAGTGATTTTTGTAGAAAATGTAAAAAATCCGTTCTATTTAGCAGAAATGGGGGACTCCCCTCCATTTACATATGGGAGATTTTTGATTGAAATCTCAAATGATCCCCTCATTTCGATAGAGTACTCCAAACAACGGGCTAGTAACAGTTATTGAGTTAAACCATGAAATGGAGTGGAAGGCGAAGTACGAAACTGGGGTTTCATCTTTCCCTACACTGGATTTCACTTCCTTCCGTTTCTATTCATTATTTCTTTGGAATGTTACTAACCAAAAATGAATACAAAAAGACACCAGAATTTCTCAACCTAAACTAGAAAAGGAATAGCATGTGATGAATGCAATTATAACCGACCTTCAGCCTACCAGAGAATATTCGAAGAGCGGAATCAAGTCTTTTTTCGGCTCCATAGGTGATATCCAGGTAGTCGAGTATGAGTACCGGAATCGCCAAACGGTAACCGAACGGTGAGGACAATGGGCAGTTTCGGTACCCCGCACCGATATTGATTTCGACATTCCGATTGCGATAGGTCGTAAGCTCAGTGTGCCTTTATTTCTCAGAAGATTTCATGCTTTTTTTATGCTTTATTCGAGCTTTCGCTCAAAAATATTCAGGTAATACCTAAAGTATTGATGTATAATTGCTATTTAGCTTTTACTCGTCCTAATAGGAATCTTCTTTATATCATTTTCCAAAACTTGAAAGCGACATTTTGAGGTGATCAACAGTGACTGCCGATTAGCGATCGGAACTTGAACCTCCCCCGAATTCGAATTGGAACAGCCAACTTATTTATTCGGCGCTAACAGGCCATCTATTTTTCAAAGTGAGTACGCAGCTCTAGATCCCTTCCCCTCGCCTACTTCGGTGCTTCCGGTTTTAGATATTGGACAAAAATCGAGATTCTCGCCAATACGTTGTCAGAATATCGGATGACATTGAATTTGAAAATGGAACCTCAGTGAAAATGTGTTGAGGCACGCTCTCTTCCAACACTGAGTGCTAGAGCACTAGCACAGGAATTTCGTTCTTACACATCCAAAAAATGTTCAGAGGAAAGGTGTGTGTATTTGTTTGATCTTGATCAATTGAGTGTTTGGGTGGAAAAAGAGCTGGAGGACGGGCAGGAGAGTGCAGGAAAAGGTAGGAGGCTCTGTGAGGGACCGAGGACTATCAGGTCGGCGCAGACGAGTAGGAGCTTTGAAAAAACCCGGCCATGGCTGGACTCTGACAGGACTGACACTGTGAAAAAAGTGAGGACCGCTACAGGAGAACAACGGAAACAGGATGGGATCCGAGGCCTAGAATCTCTGAAGCCCTGAAGGCTCAAACCCGAAGCCTTGAAGTCCTGGAACCCCGAAGCTTAAACTTCGAAGCCTAACTATTCGACAGGAACTGTTATTCAGCTGGGCTCAGACTAAGGCTTGCCAAGAACCACCTAATTCTTCGAACAATAAAAACGAGAAACCAATCAATATGAAAAACAACAAACGCAAACAACGAATAAAAACAAAAAACAAGTGAAACTAGTTGAGGAAGAGGCATTCGGTTCCACGCACTTGTCAGAATAATAATGTGCAAGCTCGATAACGAATGACTTCTCCAATAAGTTAGGGGTGAATTAATAACAAGATGAAGTAGACCAATAACAAGGTTCGGATTGCATAAATACAAAACTACGTGCAATACTCAATGTAAAAGTGACATGAAAAAGGGGTATGCGAGTAAAATGAACTAAAAATAACAGAGGGGTGCGCTATCCCGTGTCGCTTCAAGCCGCGGTCGCTGAATCGATCAACTAACTTAAGTAGGGGGAGTTGGCATGCGCGCGCAGTTTCCCGCGCGATCTCTGATAATCGAGATCACCTTCGCGATGTCGTTTTGCCGGACAAAATATCCTCAGAGTAGAAATCATTAACCAAAATAAACAATAAGGAACACACTAATACAAACCCTTTCTTTAGTCACGTCTGTGACAGTTACAGAATCACATAATCGCTCTCATGCTTACCTAACCTACGCCACGTTATACGCGGTTCGCCAAAATAAAAGACTGTTTGCCATCCTGAAAGGATCTGATCCTAGTTGTGCCACTTTCGAGATACAACCCAACTGACCAAAGAGGGAACGAGGGGCTTAATGTGACCCTCCGCGGTAAGTGTACCCTGACCCATTCCGCAGTCCCAACTGTTGGGAAAGGCTCCGCACGACACCTTATCTAAGTTTCTAACAATATATGAACAAAGTCAGATTAGCTGATAAATTATAAACGATTTGAGATAATTCCACTCCCAAGAGGTAGCGCCTACAAAAAATCAATTCAGAAAATGGAATAGTACAGCAACAATTCGACTTCATTTCTCACAACGAGAAAGAGTTCTCAGCTGTTGCAATGGATTTTACTGGAAACAACGTGGTTTTGGGAAGTTTTAATAGGTATTGATTTCCTTGAACTTTCTCAGAATTCTGGACCATGGTGAAGTCTATGTGGCATATCTCTCTTCAGAATACGCCTGTTCTCTTGGTCATCTCGCCGAGGTGCTTGGGAGGAAGGAAATTTTCTAGACATCCCGAATTTGTATGCATGCACTGCGATTGCATGGAAAGCAGATGGATCTCTGTTGTACTGTGTGGGTCTTCTAAGCGAATTCTTTCACATTTTCCCAGATAGAATCGATTCTAAATCAGGGCAAGGTATAGTCTCATTTCATCCATACCTAGCGAATCTTCCTTCTTCCTACACGGTCCCGGACATTACCTTACATTACCTTCACTCCCAAATCCAAACTTCACCTTACACTGTATTCTCAGAAGATTGCACAGCAACAATATTTTAACACTGCACGTGTTTTTTGGTGGTGAGAAGAAAACAATACTCAATAAAAATTACAAATGGGTTTTATGGATACCGAATGCATTTTCAAAATTCAAAATCCTAATTTCTCAGTTTCAGGGCACTCTTTGTGGTGGGGTGATTTCCATTGACTGCTGTCTTCGAAGAGGAATGCTGAACAGTCGATTCGAGACAACCTATGTTGCACCATCGCACGTCATCGTGCGTGACGTGAATAGTGGCACCAAAACGAATTTAGTGTCACAAAAAGGGTATGCCATCGAAAATCTCAAGGTGGGATTCTTGATGTCACATTTATTGAACTTTCGTCCCCTCGCAATGTTTCCTTCTTCAAGTTCTTCGAGACATTGCATTCTACTCCACGAATCCCAGCAGTTCCTGGGCCCCGATCAAGGAGAGGGGACATACTGATCCTAGGTTCTTCTTCTTGTGTTCCCTGGTGTCAATAGGTATGAGATCAATGTATTGCATTCTGTGTGCACAGCTTTTCCGAGGGAAAATCGGGCAAAGACGTCTCTTGCACACGTATGACCCACAGGCAAAAACGTTTTCATACCTCATGGTTCACTAAGTTGTCCTCACCGTCTGAGAGAATAAAAGCACTGCCCTATATATCAGCTGGAACCCTCCAGGTTTCGGACGATGTACTGTTACGGCCGGAAGTAGGGGCTAACCACACACTCCTGCATAATGAAATGGGAGCCCACAGTGTGAGAATGTTCCATATGAGATCAGGACACCATCAATCGTAGAAGCAATACCTCGAAAAAGGGTCTGACTTAAGATGATTGGAAAAGACCGCTTTATGGTGGCATACACGGCCTCTTCACTGATTCTGGCTGACAGTGAAACAGGTCTATCATCGGAAATCGACTGGCAATCAGGTGGCAATGAAAAGTAAGCTATCCTAGCAGGCCTACCAATTGCTTTGACCACTCATTCAAAATATTTTTCAGATTTTATTTTGAGTTTGCTCATGTTTGTGTGATTGTAAACGTCGGTGAAATAACCGTCGTTGAATACGGTATTGACGGACCGCTTGGTTGGGTAAGAACTGAACTGACCAGTCGCCATTTAATAAGGTAACCGAAAACGAATATGAAGATACGCCATGTCATTCTAACTATTTTCTATCCGTATTTAGCGTAAGTGTTACCAAAGGAGGTCCAGGCTCGACCCCGATGAAAAAAATTGCCTACCTCACTGATCCGACATCACTAACGATTAGTAAGTTTTATTTTTATTATGTATATGAATTAGGATCAGGGTCTGGGTGGATTGCGTTACAAAGTGCACTTGTATTTGAGCTAAATGATTTGCATAAGCAAAACTTTCCTTTTATCAAATCGAGGAGCCAGGCGAAGAGTTAAATTCCTGCTGTATCAGCCAGACAGCTTGTAACTCTGTGCAGGGCACTGAAGCGTGCAGTCGCGCCGCGTCTCTTGCACTTGGTATAGCTGAGCGGAGGGATGAAACAGAGCCAAAATACAAGGTAAAACTCTGATTAGTGTGACTTATTGCAGAGAACCTGATGAACGACAACATAGAAGTGAGCATAACACATACGACCACAATCGACTGGCTGGAGGTAATTTCAAACCTGTCTTGAGTATATAAGGAAGTTGACAGGATTTTACTTACCATCATTGATCCACGTGACAATCAGTAGATGCCAGGACACCACTACGAGTTCATTTAAGTCCCCTTCCGGAACAAAATGCGAGTAAGGAAGTAGGAGCTTCTTGCTGTCGGCTTGACGGCATGCATCTGCTTCCTGCCTTTTTCTCAACATCAAACTTTCCGACGAAATGTCAAGTTATGGACTCGTGGGCGTTTGTCCTAGTTCGTCTGCTGTCACTGCGACAGTCGCGTGGGCGTACGGTTGCAGGTGCACACCGAAGTACTATATGTTATCATTCTTCTTCGCGCACTTTCTGAATCCAGCGGTACCTCAAACAGCGTTCTGCACAGCGAGACAACTAGCCAAGGGCCACTGCATGCGCTACACAGAATGAACTATAACTGCACACCTTCTTGGTCGGAACAACCTTTAAACCACCAAATGACTTTTAAAATGGACACTTTTGGCAGTTATCGGCTACTTCGATCTATTCTAACACCGATGATACTTGTTTTGATCCATTTAGTTAAGCGAAACAGCTACGAAACTGTTGTTCCGTGACAAGCGTTCACGCCTATTCTTACTCGATGGCTCTCGTCAATCATCATTGCTCAATTTCTGCACATATGTCCAATGGGTGCCCGGTAGCGACACTATCGTGGCACAGTCTGGTAACTCGCTTCACGTATGGTAAGGAAATGCAAACATTTTGTAATATCGCCAATTCCCTTAATACATGAAAAGTAGCGGCCCATTATATAGGTACAACCCCGCATTACCCGATCAAGTAACCACGATTACCATCAAGGGTGAAATAGAAAGTGTTCTCCGGGATGCGGAACGTACAGAAGTTATTGTGCAGGTAAGCAACAAGAATCCGCTGTGGATTGGATATAGCTGAAAATTGCTCTATAGGAAGACAACGCCAAGGTCGCTTATGAGCTGGATAACGTCCAAATTGATTTTGGTTCAGCGTTGGAATCAGGAGATCTGAATAGAGCATCTGCGTTCCTGGACCACTACAAGGTCGACGATGCGTGAGTTCGAGTATTCCTTTGGTTCTCCTGACTTCCTTAAAGTTCTTCCTGACACCGAAACTCCAATAATACAACATAACGTTTATTTGGAAACTTCAAAGTGATCGTGGTCGAACTCAAACTGTACTTTAAGTGACCTTTTTCTGTAACAGAGAAAGATTCGATACTCTCATTTTCCTGTGATTCCGTTATGAATGAGCTCGTTCTAAAGATCATGCGGGTTTTGAGATTCTTGGCCGGACAATCTTAAAACAATCACATCTTTCTAGGCTTCTCAGGGAGTAGATCCCTCCGAGGGTTACCCAATCAAACTGTTCTTATTCCAGTCGGCAAATAAGTCATTGACGTAGCCAAAGTAGTTAGCTACATCTGGAAGCTAATGACAATCTTCACGCTTTTACCAAATTCGGAACAACAGCCTTCTGAAATCCCATCATCCCTTACTATCAGCTCACTACATGTTCAGCTACTCGATGTGGAACAAGGTGGCGCAGATGGCTTCCGAACAGACGAACTTCTTTGTCGCTCAGCGATGTTTCGCAGCTCTCAATGAATACCCTCGAGCCCGAGCTGCTTTCGTAAGTGATGTTCAGATTTGGAAGTTCATTCCCCGTTTTGAATGTAACTGTTTCAGAGGAATGCTGAAATGGCAGAAGTCACAGCTAAAGAGATAGGTGGCGATGGCACTCAGCACTGGAAAATCAGGGCCAATGCTGCGCAATTGATGCGGAATTTCAAGGAAGCGGAGAATATTTATTTAAAAAATGTGGGTTATACCTTCTACAGACCATTATACAGACTATATTTTGAGAATAGGCCCGAATGGGATGAAGTTTAGAACGCCATCGAGGAAGCGATCGAGATGTATCAACTGCTACAAAAATGGGATGAAGCGTTGAGCATTGCTAAGGCTGTGGTGAGAACGTTTGAATTTTCCAAGACGATGTGTCGGCCTAGTACGCGCGCGGCAGCGGCACGGGCGACTGATGATGAGCACCATTCCTTTTTACGCTCACATGCTAGGCAGGCTCCGATTTCTGATGATTGTAAACATGAATGGGCGAATGACTGAGGGTAACTATTCAGAACTACCCTGGCTTCGAACAACTCAAAGCGAATTACTACAGAACGTTGTTTGATACAGGGCGAGATGCAAAAGCAGCAGAGGTGAGTTCTGGGTGATCGTCTTTGGGTTCACTGGCAGTTTTGACACTAAAAAGATGGTGGCCCTAGCCGTTTTCAGTTGAAAATAGCC